TTTTGTTTACCAGACCATCAGTATCAGAATCGTACCCTGGACCTGCTTCCTTCTCTCCTCCCTTGCCACGTGAATTCATCCTCCCCCCCCTCCCGCCGACTTTAAAAACCTGCTCTACACTGATAACCTCGATTTTTTATCTCCAGCTCAGGCTCCTACTGAGCTCCAATTTTTTAAAACTCCAGATGCCCTCTTGATATCTCTATTGGCACATTTTACAAGCATATAAAATGTATTAAAGCCAAAAATGAGCACGTCATGCTTAAATCAACTAGATGGGACGGTCAAAACCAGGTTCAGCTGAGCTTGGGCAGCGCCTCCAAGGGTCAATATATAAACCCAGTTCTTTTTTTTTTTTGCTTGAGAATGAGCCTTCATGAACTTAATAGTAAAAATATGCAAAAGAATGCTTAAATACTGGTCAGGTGGGTAGAGTGTTATATTCATATCTTGAAAAAGATTGAAGCCAACATTAGAATGCTAGGTCTCTGGCAATAAGCTAAATTCTGTTGGAACATCCGTGGAAATTGCCAGTAGATTACACAACACACCAACAAATCTCACCATGGCTCCTTTGACTCAGCAAGCACCCCTTTAGTGTCAGCCACTGTGGGGACCTGAGGGGCACAAACATGAAGACGATGGAGACCTGTGTTTGCAAAGAGCCCATACTTTGTTCGCTGTGAGAGTGGCACTATCCTCTGGAAGTTCTAGAAATGTGCGGGGGGATTTCTGTTGTCAGAAGCTCTGTGTTCTTTCTTCTGGGTGTCCTCAGTGTTCGAGAATAAGCCCATGTTCCACACACTCTCAAATGTCCCATTGACAACCGATACAAGTAAAAAGCCTATTTACCATCATCTGAGCCTAGATTTTAACTCCATTTCATATAGACACAAAGTGGTTTGTGCATGGTTTTTACACATACTGAATTTTTCAAGAATTCAACAACATACATTTGGATAGCAGGTTGTACTTGTTTTCGTTTAAAACTTTAGCAAGGTTTTTCACCATTTCAGAAAATCATGGCACCAAAGCCAACGCTGCTCGTAGCTCTGAGCCCCGAGGAGATCCGTGTGCTCTAGTCTTGCTTCGTAACGGTACAGTCGTGGCCATCATACACAAAGCTGCCAACATATCACTATTTCATTATGCCTTCTAGTGAGGCTTATTTTATTGTAAATTATTTCTTTTTATTTCTCCTTTATAATATAGTTATGCTGGTGTATTGACTTTTTAAAAAATATGTATATAGGTACAGTATATGTACTCTAAATTTCATTTCAGGAGAGCAAGGGAGTTGCTACAAAGGATTTACTTTACAAGTGCTTGCAAGAAGTCTGATATGACTGAGAACCACTGCCCTACAAGGGAAAACATACAATTTCACCGACAATTTTGGCATCTCTGCTCTGTAGTAATAACATAAGGGATAGTCAAGCATCATTAGTCAAGGTCTTGGCTAGTTTTTTTTTTTCAATCTACTTACCAGTATTCTTTTTTTGGGCTACAAAGGAGAAACTCGAGCTCCAGGAAATGTTAAGGGTTAATGATATGCTAATGGGAATGATGCTTTTCACAGAAAGCTTTCTGAAAAGGGAACATCACACAGACAGAAGGCTGAGGGTTGCTTCAAGCAGAAACCCAGTAGGCAAGTCAGTGACGAGGAGAGCAAGAAGGCTGGAGTGTGGGTTTGGTGTCTCTTTGATAGTTACCGCCACAGCCCCCCTTCTAGACCCAAGTGGACAGAACATCTGGCAGGGAAAGCCTTCCTCCCAACCCATGGGCTGTGACAACTGTGTTTTAAGCCTAAGAAGTAAAATTAAAGACCACAGTGAAATTCGGAATTGTGCTGGAGGTTTCTAGGCAACAGCGGCCAGAAAGGTTGCTAGGGACAGGGACGGGGCTGTTTTGGACTGTGTATATGTCAGATCCTTCTAGAAACTTGACAGTGATCCTTCTCTTAAAATAAACAAACAAACCAAAGGGCTAGTGAAATATGCACACTCAACCGTAGGGATTAGGGGAGGAATAAAAACCAAAGTAAACAACAAGACAACCAAAACTCTGAAAGAGTATTATCCTTAAAGGAGGATCAACAGATCGGGCAAGTTGTTCTGAGAAAGAGCATCTGCGACCCCTTACCCCTTTTCCTGCCTCCACCAAGTTCTAGTATCATAACATTAATTCAGAGCTTAGCATAGAGAAGGCCAATGGATGGTTCTGGCACTTACAATGGAAAGTTTCAGCCATCCAGTTAAAATCTAAGCCAAGGCCAGGACGTTCTCAGTATAGCAGGCATTCCCCGGGCAACCATGAAAGAAATGACTTGCTGATGTGACTACCTCACCTTGCAGAAAGGTTCTCTACTTAATTCTATTCCTGAGCATTCCAGAAGGCCCAGCACCATGGCATTGATCTCAGTGATCACGCTCCCTCACTGCTTGCCCACCCGCACACCCTCTGCTCTCATAAAAGAGTCTAGAACTCTACTTCGCCACTGAATTTTATTTCTCCCCCCTCTTAGGTTTCAGGACACCATGATTTTTATCTCTAACAAGGAAACATTCTACTCCTCTTTCAAGGTATTAGTTAGTGGCCCTTTCTTCCTCTTCAGAGTATCACCAGCACTTTGTATACGTAATCCACTTGGTTCTAGATTGTCCTACAGTTATCTGTGAGCATAATTCTAGAGGCTGAGGTAAAGCTGAAACTTTATGTGGTTCTAGCATGTGTGCATATCACTATCTCTATTGTCGAGAAAACTAAAACTCAAAAGAGATATAACTTGACCACCATAATCTATCAAATGCCCACTGATATTTTATTTTGGTCTACCTGCTAACCACTGCACTGCAGCTTCCTTTATTAGTCCTAGAGAACAGGATCTTTTATATTCCCAGGTCACCCAGCACTTGCTCATTTTCCACTTTCATTACCTGTACAATTAGTTGTCCACTATCTGCTTCTCCATTAGGCTGTGAAGTCCATGGGCACATAGAATGGTGCCCATCTTGTTTTCCCCTCATCTCTACTGTCCAGTGGCACGCATGCCTGGTACGAAGTATTAAATATCTGTAATGCTTCCAGTTCCTAGAGCTACACTTCAGTATTTAAAAAAGGGCATTTGGCTCTTTATGTGTAAGTACACAGTGTCCATTTCCAATCATTTAGAACACAAAGTCAATCTCAGGAACTACAGGGAGAGAGGGAAAGGGAAATCTTTCCTATTTCATTTACTATGTTCATGATGCAAAGTTTTCTCTTTTGATAACGTCATATCATCTATAATTAGTATTATCTACATAAATATCTATCTTCCTATACAGACCATATATCAAAACATTTGTCTATTATTTAGAAACACATTATTAGGTGCTTATATTATTTAGTGGAAATTCTGAAATTTAAGTCATTGACAATATGTACATCATTAATTAAATCTTTAACAGAATATTAAGGGCTAGGAAGAATAAAAGTGTCCCATGTTACTAGCAGGATTACTTGTACCAGCCAGAAAGTAGAATAACTAAATCAATGGTGTTGTCCCACACAGTGGAATACTATACAGCAACAAAAATGGACAAACTACTGTACATCCCACAATGAAAATGATCTTAACAATAAAACTAAGGGAAAATAGTGAAGCACAAAGAAATGTGTGTAAAGTCCATTTGCATTGAGTTCAAATAGAAGCAAAACTCGTGTATGGTGTTAAGAGTCAGAATATTGATTTCTCTGAACATAGAGCAAGCCCAGGAAGCTTTCAGGGTGCTGGTAATATGGTGTTGCTTGATCAGGGTGCTAGCTCACAAGTGTTCTCTGTGAAAAACCTCATTAGGTGTTATGATATCTCTACCTGTATATTTATATTTATCTAAATGGAAATAGGTAAAATTAGCATACTTATATGTGGACTGCGGACCAACCTACCTTTTCTTTAGTGAGTTTGCTATTTATTTAGTTAGTGTGTGCATCCCAGAAAATTGGAAGACTCCTAGCCTTGTGTTCATTGTGGGTTGGATATTAAAGTCCAAGCATTTACTCCAACACTTTCAAAACAATATGTGGCTTAAATATGGATTTTCCTATCCTTTGTGAATGTCTGATCCATATCTCAACCTATTCCTCACTTTAGTGACATAAAGGAAGTAAGTCACTGGGCACAGAACAATCTTCAAACTTTATTCATTTAATTGGTCAAACTTCTATTTTTTTTAAAGAAACTAACCCAAGTCACAGGGATTCCATTTTTCTCCAAATAATACGTTAAAAAGAACTTTCAGCCCTATGCAGTGCTCAATCTCAATTATTTAAATATATTTTAGAACATAATTAACAGCCCACCGATATTTTCCCCATTGTATTGGCATTTAGAACCGGAATGAGCCACTTAATAATAAAATTTCATTAAAATGTTAAACTGCACAGTTAAGAAGTGTGTGAGAGTGCATGATCTTTTCTCTTATGCTAGTCATTCAAAATTTCCCATAACATTTGCTTAAGTGGAGAATGAGCCTAATGCTGTATCTATCATATAACTGTATCCAAAGTTTATTCTAATTACAATAGTTTTAAAAAGCCTGGCATCTCCTTCCCACTGACTCTGATTCTAAGGGACTACTTTATTGCTAATAATGATAATGGTCAAGTTAGCTAAGCAAAGATGGTATGAACTACATCAGAGTGTTAATTATCTGAGATGAAGAAAGCCAGTAAAAAAAATGGATAAAAACCATTCAAACTCGAAAGGTCTACAACTCCTCTCCTCTGCATAAACCCAGCAGGAACTTTCCGGTGTAAAGGGACACCCTAGGAGAAGCAATTTAGCTTGAAAGAGGTCTCCTGTTCCAAACGGACCCTGAATCTCTCCGAGGAGGCGAGAGAGTTGAGCTTTGTCCCCATCCATCAGCGGGGAGGTCGAGCAGTCTCGCCGGGAGGCAGGCCGCCTCTCCAGGCGCCCCCGGGGCGCAAGCGCCCGCGTCCGTGGGCCAGGGACTTACCACGAGCGCGCAGCACAGCACCTTGTTCATTGTGGTCCCGGGAAACCTCAGGCGCTGGGAGGAGGCAGCAGCGGCGGCGGTCGAGCGCTCCGGTGCGTCTCCGCAGCCCGTGCAGTCACCGCGTTATATATAGTGTTGCAACAGGAAGTACCCGCTGGGCTTTGATCATTCATTCCCTATCTGGACCAAACTTTGCACCTTTTTTAGGAACCTTGGGGAGGGAGCGGTGGGGGTGGGAGGTGAATACCCGTAGGAAAAGCTCCGGGATTAACGCTTTCAGAGCCAGGACAGAAAAAAAATCTCCTGTGTGTACGGATGGACAGTGGGGAGTGGGGCGGGGATGTCTGGCTTCTGGGAGTCGGGGGAAAGCCCTCGGGGGCTGCGGAACAAGGCACTCTTTCTCCGCGGGGCTCTGAGGTTTCCCGGCCCCTTCCTGCCTGCGGGCGGCCTCCTGGCTGCCTCCTGGCCGCGGCCACCGGCGGTGGGAGGGATGGGCGCTCCTCCACCCTGAGAGCCCCATCCAGCCAAGCCCCGGGCTCAGCCTGGAGTGCGTCCCAGGCACTTTATCCCCCGTTTGTCCCGACGCCTTCTCCACCGGTTCTGAGACCTGATGACAAGACCCCTCATTTATGCACCGTATTGTCTCCGAACAGGGGGAGTTGGTAATCATTAATCCCCAAGGTTGCAAAGGCTGATAGAAGGCACTTCTCTAACTTTTGGTTCTAAAGCTCATGCTTTTCCCCACTCACTTTTTGTTGTCTCAGGCGATTAAAGCTAGAGGGAACCAGCAGCAGAAAAACTTCCCGCCTAGGGCAGGATGAACCTTACAGGCTGTGGGGTACCTTGGCCACTGTTTTCTTCACCAAGACCTTAATCATCAAGGGGCTACAGGGACCTTACTGTTCTACATACTGAATTTCTAAAATCTCCTCTTCAAGGTTCTTCCACTGTCCCCAAGATACACACAGAAGTTTGGTGCTTTCGTAAACAGTGCTTGCCTTTCCCATCCACTTTCAAAATTTTGCTTGTCCAAAAGTTGGACCCATTGACTCCTGAACTGTAGTCCCATTCCAGGACCTGCGGTTCACCAATTAGTTCTCAAATTTTCACCAGAACCCTCTGCTTACAGATGCTGGAAATGTCACCAAGGAGCCAGCTTCCCCAACAGGGCCAAGTATTCAGCTATATGTCTCTTGAAAAGGGCAAGATCTGCTCTTTACCATGTTCAAAGATCAAAAGGTGAAGAATCAAGGAAGGGCCAGTAGGGATCAGAACTTCTGCCTCTGCAAATGGGCATGATTCCACTAGGAGTTTGGAGTGGATTCATCGAACAATAAGAAAATATTTAGAGGAAAAGAATGTCTGCTTCCTCCGAGGTCATCGTGAATTAAAAAATGACAGAAGGTCTTATCCATCTTCATCCCTCCGATGCCAGAACGTACCAGCATGCTGGTTTCTCCAGCGAACTAGCGAATACATGAAGGTCAGTCAGTGGGGACCGCGTTGTACCAGTCCAGACCTGCCCCTCCACTTTTGAACTTCAGTTTTGAACTTCAGGTCTACAACCCACCCCACTAACACTTAGACTCAACATGAGACAAGTAAATTCGAATGTTAGCAGTGAAACATTATGTAAGTGGCAGTATTACTGTTTTCAGTAGGGTCATGTTTGTCTAGGGTCTTACGTGAAGGCATTTTTCTTGAAATATAAAATTGTTAATGTAAGAAACATCCAAACATGTAGAGAATTTTTATGAGTTTATTTTAGCCAAACTGCAGGGAAACAAAATCTCAATGCATTGGAAAAAATCTCCAGAGAGGTAGTTCAGCTTATTTTATACATTAGAATCAAAGGAGGAGGTGTAAGAAGGGTTACAGGAAGTCCACTGACGTAGGTTAAGGGGGTGCAAGAAGGCAAAGCAGGGAAATCTCTAGGACTGGATAAAATGTAAAAGAGACGCGTACTTCTTTTCATTGGTGGGTACAGGATAGTAAACATTCACAGCACATAAAAATGGGAAGCAAGGGGCAAGAAACAACGAGGGGTCCTATGGTCTGCTGCCCTGGGGCCTGCACTCTGAGGGGCCTGGGAAAGAAGATCGCTCTGCTATTGCAAAGGTATGCTATCTAAGATGCAACAGACAGGCCCCTAAGGTACAGGTGACTGTTATCGAGGAAGCTACGGGCCCAGGACTTGACTACCGCTGTGACCCACTTTTAGTTAAGAAGTTTTATGTTCAGATACTTTAGGCTCTGAGTGTGTCAGGCCTTCCTTCCATGTGGCCTCCCTGAGCGTGTCAGGTTTAAGATGTGACCACTTTTGCATCCACGATATAATGCCAATACGCAGGAGTCAAACTTAGAGGAAACTGATCAAGGGTTGAATTTTGCAGTACTAACCCTAGAAGAATTTCATGTCTCTCCAAACCTCAGTTTCTTTATCTTTTAGATAAGAATAATATGGATATTAAAGAAATGTGGGAGACAGCAAATGAAAGCATTTATAATTAAGGTGAATCATATGTGTGAGCATTAAATAAGCTAATGTATATAAGGTAACTTAGCACAGTGTCTAGTCCATAGGACATATTTACTAAATTATATCTATGATCATCAAGGGTGGAAATTTTTAACTGGTGTGCCACGAGAATTTTAAAAATATGCCATACCTGACTACTCAGCACACACAATATGACAACAGCAGCTGTCCAGTGTGAATGAATCAAAATGATACCTATTTTTTGTCATATAGGCAAAATATATATATATTTTTTTGGTGTGCCACAGAGTTTTAGAGGTTAGTTTATGAGTACCATGTGATACCAAAGGTTGAGAATTGCTGGCTTAGGGGAGAACGTAATGTACTGATCTTTGGAACCAGATACATGGATTTGAACCCCAGATCTGCCCCGTCCTCGCACTGTGACCTTGGGAAAGTCAGGTTTTATCTAACATATCTATACGTATCTAACCTGTTCGTATTTCTGTTTGCTTTCTCTACCTGTATACCATGTGTAAAAAATTACGCCTACCTCAGAGGATTATGAAGGTTAGTATGAGCACTAAATTGGATAAAACACATAAAGCACTTAAAATAGCGTCTGCCACATAGTAAGTGCTCATTAACTTAGTTGTAAGAATAATAATATTCTCCTCTTAAGGAGCACATTTATATGAGCACAAGGTGAAACCTGGATTCTAAGCTCCTGAGAGCAGGCACCATGTACTTTCCTTGAGCTCTCAGCTCACCGCCTGGCTCCCTGCTCCTGCTCGATAGATACTAATAGTCACCATGGTGGTTGGTGCCTGTGTGTGTGGAAGGGTAATTGGCTGTAATCTGGAGAAAAGCTGAGACACCATCTATCTGGAGTCACGAAATAGACTGTGTATTGACTCTGTATTTCAGGGACTGACTGGGGGCGGTTTATTTATCACCCACTGACAGGAAGCAGACGCACACTCTGAGTTATCGGTCATCTCGTTTCCTGGAACAATCTGGCCAGCCCCCTGGGTCCTCCCAGGTGACACGCTGCTGTGGGCTGCAGACCCTGGACACTCCGAAGCTGGAGTTCATCTCGGGCTGAATTGGAATGGACCCAGGGACTCCCGACTGGATCCACAGGGGGGACGTTCCACACTCCCTTGGCAGACTGCATCCATCTTCCTGTGACAGATCCCTCGTTGGCAGACGCCGTCGGTGACATTAGAGTGTCTCATCAACTTAGCCTTATGTTTCTGGGCACCAGCTCTGTGTCATGCTGACTTTCCAGGTGACGCCTCGTCAGTTAATCCCCATCTTCTCTTCCTCGAACTCTTCTGAGCTAGGCCTTATGTCGAACACATGTTCACTTGCCTGGGGTTCTGATTGAACTTGCCTCGATTCCAGCCACTCCTGAGGCTTGAAGAAGTGGTGCCTGAATACTGGGAACTCCCACGAGAAAACATTTTATCTCTATAGCACGGCAGCAAAGGTCCCGATACACAAGGGCACTTAGAATCATCATCCTAATGGAAATGCCTGGAACTCGGGACAGGAGCTGATTGGGTTATTTGGGAGACAAGGCATGCTCTGGGCTCTGAAGTGGCTGATCAAGTGTTTAGAACATCTTACATCTAAGCTCCGTCACCTGAAAACTGAAAATACAAGCTCTGAGGGTACAAAGGTAGAAGGATATTAACTTGAAGAACAAGAGCATATTCCTTGTTACTATACTGTATTAAAATGAAGCTTTTTCTGATTTCATAAGAGAAGGGACAGAAGGAAAAGAGAAATATTATGCAGTATAATAATTTCCATTTATTGGATTAATGTTTGCCAGTTTCTTCATTGACAAACACAATTTTAACTGCATTAACATTCTAGACAGAAGCTATTTGACTTTAAAAGTGTGATAGACTATGTACAGAAATGGATGTGTACTTGTTTAAAAACTATAATGTACAGAAAGGCAGGGTTGTATAGCTGAAGCACATTCTGGTTGTGTAGGTCACCAGTTAGTGTCAGACCAGGGCATAGTAGATGCTAGTTATGGGTCCCTACACAACGGCAGTGTGACTCTAGCATTGTCACTAAAATAAGCATTGACAACTGGCATCGATCAAACATTCACACAAATATATTATTGTAAACAGGACTGTGTGCTCCTTGGGAAGAAATGAGTTCCAGTAAGAGTACCTGACCCAGTGTGACTTTAAACCAGGCCTCCGTAAAATGAGTGTGTTCACCAGAGGTGAGAAGACAGTACGGGGGGCACTGGCGGGTGGTCAGCATGAGACAGACGTGATCATTTTAATGTTTGTTGGGTGGAAGTTCTCTGACCTTCACCCTGCCAATCTCTCAGGATCATAGGCTCCAATACAGACATGCAAGAGAAAACCTTCTGAACCTCAATATCACGGCGTAAGTTGAAAAGTACTTTTATTAACTTAACTAGGTTTAAACCATTTTTAAATGCCTGCTTATGGTAAAAAACAACATTCAAATGGTATGAACACATATACCCTGGAGGGTCAGTCTGTGTTTCACATCAGACCCCCACTGTCCTCAGCAAAAGCCACTGCTGCTAAGGCTTCTCACGTGGTCTTTCCTGTTACGTACAAATGCACGCATATGGGCAGACATCCTGTTGTTGCATGCAGAATCAGA